GGGGGGAGGCATTAACCTGGTGGTTCTTTCACGTTGACCTTTTGATAGCCCAGGAAGTGTTTGGATGATTCTTAGGACCAGGCCCACCTCTGGAAAAAAATATTAAGTGGACTCTGGGGGATAAAATCTCTTGGAACAAATTCTCGGGAACTAGAATTTTCAATCCACCTTGTTCTTCTGGTCAAGGAAGAAAACAGAGACCAACTTATTAATCACTGAATTCCCAGTGCCTAGCACTGTACTCATAAAGTGTTTATTGAACTACTCTGAAATCCCTACCAACTGCCCAGATTTCTCTCAGAGGCATTTGCACTTTTAAGAGAATTCGTTGAAGAAAGCAATGCTTACCTAAAGGGAGTAATAATAGGGTAGAGATGCCATTAGGTAGGAAAGATATTTGGAGTATTTCAGCCTTCCTGGTTCCCCTCCAGGTGAACACTCTGACAAGCCTGCTTAGGACCTTCTCTAAGCAGGAGAATCTCTTGATCTAGATTTTATCTAGAGTCTTTCCTATTCCTCCAGACTGTCACCCAGCCCCTGCATATACCTTGAAGTTCCATGCAGGTTCCCAATGTAATTGCAAACACTAAAAATCTGGATGGTCACAAAGAAAGCTACACAACAAAGGGAAAACTTGATCTAATTTCTAGAGACTCGTTAAAATCCATGTTTGCTGAAAACTGGCCATATTGATCATGATATTTAATATTACACCATGCTTGAGTCGCCAAAATTCGAAAACAGAACTTCCCTCTATAGCTCTCTATAGTATTCTCCAAAAATGCCCACAACCATATTTCCAATCCCACATGCTCTTGCAGAACCATGCCACTCGCCCATCAATAAGTGGCATCTATGTTCCTACCCCTTGAACTTCAGTGGACCCTTTGATTGCCTCAAAGAATAGAATGTGGTAATGGAGACTGCATAACTTGTGAAGCTAAGTCATAAAATGCAACCTAGTTTCTACCCGGCTCACTCTCATGCTCTTGCTCTCCACTCACTTTGGAACCCTGAGCGTCCATGTAAGAAATCTAGACTATAATGAGATATCACCTCACACCTGTTAGAATGGCTATCATAAACAAGACAAGAGCTAACAAATGCTTATGAGAATGTGGAGAAAAAGGAACCCTTGTGCACTGGTGGTGGGAATGTAAATTGGTACAGCCACTATGAAAAACAGTATGGGTTCTTCAAAAAATTAAAATTATAACTATCATATGATCCAGCAGCCCACTTCTAGGTATATATCCAAAGGAAATGAAAACAGTATCTCGAAGAGATATCTGCACTCCTGTGTTTATTGCAGCACTACTCACAGTAGCCAAGATACAGAAAGTGTCCATCAGTTGAATGGATAAAGAAGATATGATACACACACACACACACACACACAAAATGGAATGTTCAGCCATGAGAAAGAAGGAAACCCTGCCATTTGTGACACATGGATGGACCTTGAGGGCATTATTCTAAGTGAAATAAGTCAGACACAGAAAGACAAATACTGCATAACCTCAGAGAGTAGAAGGGTGGTTACCAGGGCACGGGGGTGGGGGAAATGGGGAGCTGTTGGTCAAAGAGTACAAACTTCCATTTATAAGATAAATAAGTTCTGGGGAACTAATGCATAGCATGGTGATTGTAGATAACAATACTATGCTGTATACTTGGAAATTGCTGAGAGAGTAGATCTTAAATGTTCTCACCACAAAAATGAAATGGTAATTCTGTGACATGATGAAGATGTTAGCTAACACTATGGTGGTAATCATATGATAGTGTATAAGTGTATGAAATCAACATGTTGTACACCTTAAACTTACACAATGTTATATGTCAATTACATCTCAATAAATGTAGAAAATAAAAAAGAAATCTATCTGCTTTGAACCTGCTTGCTGGAGAAATCACATAAGCAATAAACACCACAGGAGCCCCAGCTTTTTCAGTATTCCTAGCCCATATGCCACACACATGAATGAGTGAGCCTTCAAATTATTTCATTTCCAGCCACCATCTTATTGTAAACATATGAGAGACCCCCAAGGAAGAACCACCTTGCTGATCCTAATCAATGCCTGAACCTATGAGATAATAATAAAAGGAGTTATGTTATTTTAAGCTACTAAGTTTGAGGGTGGTTTCTTCCATAGTGATAGATAACCAGAAGTTTATACTTTATAGTATAAAGTTGTTGCCTTGGGTAGTGTATGAAAAAATTATTCCAAACACAAATATACAACAAAGAAAACACTCCATTATCTATATATATTTATGTATGAAAATTAACCTATATGATACAAAGGTTCTGATTCCAGTTAACACAGAATAATAACACTCAACCCATTCTCTCCCACTGAATGCAGCAATAAACCTGAACAAAATTCATGGAGCAACTATTTAAGGACTCTAAAACATAAATTGTACCAGGTAAATTAAGGACAAACACCAGAATTTGAAGTATAACAACTGGCAGTGAGTTTACCATTTTTTCCCTCCAGTAGCCACTGGACTGGACTTAAGGCAGCCCAAAACCCAGCAAGGGGCATTGACATGGAAGGAGAGCACCAGTAAGAGTAGGAAATAGATCTAAAGTTCATAGAAAATAGTGAAGTACATCATTTTTTTTTTCAGTTCTCTCGCACCCTAGCCAATAGGCAATCTCCCTATGACAGTGACAATGGAGGAAGCAGTGCTATCAAATGCTTAAAATGCTAAGGGACAGAGAAACCTTCCTCTATAGTTGAAGTAGCTATGGTTCCCAAATAGTGGGTTCAAACCTCCATTGATATTTCTTCTCTCTCTGTCCTCTTGCTGCCTGGCCCAGACATGGGCAAAGTTGCAGGAAGTACAAAGCAGAGAGGAGTAAACAAAGACTCAGATTTCTTGCCAAAGGATCAAAATGGGGAACTCCAAGAAACTACAAAGTATTAGGGAGATCATAGAGAGGGAGGAGTTTG